TTAACAAGTGTTATCTGCGTGTTGCAACACACTAACACACTTAACAAGTGTTAACTGCGTGTTGCAACACACTAACACACTTAACAAGTGTTATCTGCGTGTTATAACACACTAACACACTTAACAAGTGTTATCTGCGTGTTATAACACACTAACACACTTAACAAGTGTTATCTGCGTGTTGTAACACACTTAACAAGTGTTATCTGCGTGTTATAACACACTAACACACTTAACAAGTGTTATCTGCGTGTTATAACACACTAACACACTTAACAAGTGTTATCTGCGTGTTGTAACACACTTAACAAGTGTTATCTGCGTGTTGTAACACACTAACACACTTAACAAGTGTTAACTGCGTGTTGCAACACACTAACACACTTAACAAGTGTTAACTGCGTGTTATAACACACTAACACACTTAACAAGTGTTATCTGCGTGTTGTAACACACTAACACACTTAACAAGTGTTAACTGCGTGTTGCAACACACTAACACACTTAACAAGTGTTAACTGCGTGTTGTAACACACTAACACACTTAACAAGTGTTAACTGCGTGTTGCAACACACTAACACACTTAACAAGTGTTAACTGCGTGTTATAACACACTAACACACTTAACAAGTGTTAACTGCGTGTTGTAACACACTAACACACTTAACAAGTGTTAACTGCGTGTTGCAACACACTAACACACTTAACAAGTGTTATCTGCGTGTTATAACACACTAACACACTTAACAAGTGTTATCTGCGTGTTGTAACACACTAACACACTTAACAAGTGTTAACTGCGTGTTGTAACACACTAACACTTAACAAGTGTTATCTGCGTGTTATAACACACTAACACACTTAACAAGTGTTATCTGCGTGTTGCAACACACTAACACACTTAACAAGTGTTAACTGCGTGTTGCAACACACTAACACACTTAACAAGTGTTATCTGCGTGTTATAACACACTAACACACTTAACAAGTGTTATCTGCGTGTTATAACACACTAACACACTTAACAAGTGTTATCTGCGTGTTGTAACACACTTAACAAGTGTTATCTGCGTGTTGCAACACACTAACACACTTAACAAGTGTTAACTGCGTGTTGCAACACACTAACACACTTAACAAGTGTTAACTGCGTGTTGTAACACACTAACACACTTAACAAGTGTTAACTGCGTGTTGCAACACACTAACACACTTAACAAGTGTTAACTGCGTGTTGCAACACACTAACACACTTAACAAGTGTTAACTGCGTGTTGTAACACACTAACACACTTAACAAGTGTTAACTGCGTGTTGTAACACACTAACACACTTAACAAGTGTTAACTGCGTGTTGCAACACACTAACACACTTAACAAGTGTTAACTGCGTGTTGCAACACACTTCAAGAGACAGTCAGACTGCACTTGTTAAACTTAACTAATGATCGTGAAATAATTGTATATTATCACTACCATTAACATGTTAAGAAGAGGAAACAGATTATTTAAGTTTTATATAACTAGTGTGAAGTGTTAAGACGTGAGGTAGGTCAGAGGTCAGGTCAAGGGTCAAGGGAAAGCAACTCCCAGTAAAATGATATTTATAATGTTGGTACATGTCTTTTGAAGTATACCAGTGTTATTTTCTTTTTAATTTTATGACCTCTTATGGAAGGCTCCGTGATGATGTAAGGAACTTTGGATCGAAAGAATTAGACCCGCTTTCCTTACCTTGGATAGATCCTGATCACCTCCTGTATCCACAAGCCTTGCATGACTTCCTTACAGGTTTACCGCTTCTCCCAAGAACTGTATAATGGTAGACATAATTTAATGGGTCCACCGAGGCCCACTGACTGACACACACAACTTAATATTTCTGGTTTTTGCCTGGAAAGTCACTTACCAACACTCAGTTTTCTATTAAATCGTCTTATCACTGACGAAAGTTATAGTGTTGCTCGGAGAATGAACATGACAGACATTGCTTGTTGGTATATGTAAACGTTATATTTTATATTGTGATTTTTTTATTGTAAGATTTATGTTGTGTACAAGATATGTTTATCTAATATTACCATTGTGTGCAGGAATTACAATAGTAATGTTTATGATTGTACTGTTGGGTTCAGTACTTTTGTATGCTAGTGAATAAGGTTCCTGTTATTATCGTTCACTCTCACCAGCTTCTCAGAAATTTCCGGAGATCATCTGGATAGGGAGGCTATGCTGCCCCCCCGTCTCTCTCTCTCTCCCTCTCTGTCTCTGTATCTGGTCACTGGTTTAGTGTTGATGTGCTGCTGGCTCCCTGATTCTTCTCTTCTTCTCGCTTCTAAGAATTTATATATGGCTTTGCATCTTTACACACCTTTGATGGTGAGTCGGAGTGTGTAAAGATGTGAATATATATATTTCGCTCTCTATGAGGTGAACCAAAACGAAATGGGTTCGAATCCTCGGCTAGTCCCAGTGTTGTTATTGATTCAATGCCACTCGTTCGTGGTTACAATAATGCACAGACACACACACACACACACACACACCTAGAAAGGAAAGATCTCATTAACAGCAGCCAACATGGTTTCATGGACGGGAAATCCTGTGTCACAAACCTACTGGAGTTCTATGACAGGGTGACAGCAGTAAGACAAGAGAGAGAGGGGTGGGTGGATTGCATTTTCTTGGACTGCAAGAAGGCGTTTGACACAGTTCCACACAAGAGATTAGTGCAAAAACTGGAGGACCAAGCAGGGATAACAGGGAAGGCACTACAATGGATCAGGGAATACTTGTCAAGAAGACAGCAGCGAGTCATGGTACGTGGCGAGGTGTCCGAGTGGGCGCCTGTGACCAGCGGGGTCCCACAGGGGTCAGTCCTAGGACCAGTGCTGTTTCTGGTATTTGTGAACGACATGACGGAAGGAATAGACTCCGAGGTGTCCCTATTTGCAGATGACGTGAAGTTGATGAGAAGAATTCATTCGATTGAAGACCAGGCAGAACTACAAAGGGATCTGGACAGGCTGCAGACCTGGTCCAGCAATTGGCTCCTGGAGTTCATTCCCACCAAGTGCAAAGTCATGAAGATTGGAGAAGGGCAAAGAAGACCCAGACGGAGCACAGTCTAGGGGGCCAGAGACTACAAACCTCACTCAAGGAAAAATTTTTTGGGGTGAGTATAACACCAGGCACATCTCCTGAAGCGCACATCAACCAAATAACTGCCGCAGCATATTGGCACCTAGCAGACCTCAGAACAGTATTCCGACATCTTAATAAGGAATCGTTCAGGACCCTGTACACCGTGTACGTTAGGCCCATATTGGAGTATGCGGCACCAGTTTGGAACCCACACCTAGCCAAGCACGTAAAAAAAACTAGAGAAAGTGCAAAGGTTTGCAACAAGACTAGTCCCAGAGCTAAGAGGTATGTCCTACGAGGAGAGGTTAAGGGAAATCAATCTAACGACACTGGAGGACAGGAGAGATAGGGGGGACATGATAACGACATACAAAATACTGAGAGGAATTGACAAGGTGGACAAAGACAGGATGTTCCAGAGATTGGACACAGTAACAAGGGGACACAGTTGGAAGTTGAAGACACAGATGAATCACAGGGATGTTAGGAAGTATTTCTTCAGCCACAGAGTAGTCAGGAAGTGGAATTGTTTGGGAAGCGATGTAGTGGAGGCAGGATCCATACATAGCTTTAAGCAGAGGTATGATAAAGCTCACGGCTCAGGGAGAGTGACCTAGTAGCGACCAGTGAAGAGGAGGGGCCAGGAGCTTGGACTCGACCCCTGCAACCTCAACTAGGTGAGTACAACTAGGTGAGTACACACACACACACACACACACACACACACACACAATAGGCCGAACAGTTCAGATGTTTGGCATTGATTGGTAATGTTAAATGCGCCTTATTTCCATCTTAGTCAGAATTTACATTCCTCTAATCACTTCTAACTCTAAACTACTGGCGTCCCTCGTTGTACAGTACTTTGATTTCCATTTTTAACCGAGTCGATAAAAGCCAGCAACAGTTTAAGTTAATGCTTTAAGTCGTATTCAATTAAAAGTTAAGAATATACACACTTCGATATTCCATATCCCAGACTCCTGGAACTGTCAAAGGATAAGATTGTTTATCTCCAACAGGATTGCGCTAATCTAAAGGAATATCATGATTTGACTTCTAAATGGCAACGTAATTCAGAGGCAAAACATGACCTACAAGTTTGGTTATAAGGATTTAATCTTGGATAAATGTGTTTAAAGAGCCCTGTTTCAAAAGAGATAGACTAGCTCATTCCAGTCATCCCAAGATAACGTCTAGAGACGCTACCGAAAATAGCACATGACATCCTCCTCTCTGGTTATTTTTTCATCACTTCATAGCCTCCCTGTCTTCAGAAAGTCACTGACTACTCTTCATAGTTATCTCTGAAATCCTGAGCTCACTCTCCTTCCTTCACTGTTTCTGCACCTACTAACCTCCATTTCATTTCCTTTATGGTCTCCTTTAGTCTCTTACTTCTTGCAGTTTTAGGAATATGTTGTCTGCTAAAGTAGACTTATTTACCCGTTCTGCACTCCTTCCTTGGCTTTGTTACAAACTGCCAGTTTTCTTCTGGTGGGAATTAAATCTTTCATTGTTCCCTCCTTCAGTAGTTCCCTTCAGCCTTACCATTACGTCATCCAGCTTTAGGACCTTTTCCTCTGCCATATTTGCCTTATTTATCTGTTCTGTGATTTCAACTTTTGCTTGGAAGGGAAGTGAACTTTTCCTGAAGTTCCTCTCTCAGTTGGGTCTTCAGGATGTCCATTATCATTACCAAGTAGTGTCAGCCGCATCCTGCATCCCACTTTTCTCCCCAACTTTGAGAGCGCCTTTGACTTGAATTTTTTTCTCTTGCAAAAAAAAAAAGTGTGTGTGGTGTTGTGGTGGTGGGTTGTGTGGTGTGGGTGGTGTGTGTGTGTTGTGTGTGTGTGTGTGTGTGTGTGTGTGTGTGTGCTCACTTATTTGTGGTTGCAAGGGTCTATTCACAGCTTCTGGCCTGCCTCTTCGCTAGTAGCTTCTATGTCTACTCTCTCCATGCTCCAAGAGCCCTATCGTACCTCTACTCCAACCTATGTATGGATCCTGCCTCCTCTACTTCACTCACCAGATTGTTCCACTTCCTGATAAGTCTAAGGCTGAAGAAATACTTCTTAACATCCCTATGACTTATTTAAGGTTTTAACTTCCGGTTGTGTTCCCTTGTTCCTGTGTCCCATCTCTGAAACATTCTGGCCCTATCCACCTTGTCAATGCCTCTCAGTATTTTACACGTCGTTATCATATCTTCCCCTATCCCTCCTATTCTCTAGTGTCGTCAGATTGAGCTTCTTTAACCTCTCCTTGTAGTACATACCTCTTAGCTCATGGACTAATCTTGTTGCAAACTTTTGCACTCTTTTCAATTTGTTGACGTGCTTGACCAGGTGTGGATTCCATACTGGTGCTACATTCTCCAGTATGGACCTGACGTACACAATGTACAGTGTCGTGAATGACTTCTTGCTTATATGTCGAAACGCAATTCTTAGATTTGCTACGCGCCCATGTGTGTGTGTGCATTCACATTTGTAAAACTCCCTAGCATTATATACCTCTGCCATTGAGGGAGAACATCCAGCAGCCTGTTGCACCCTTAAAGTGGAGATAAGAAAGGACTTCATGGATGAATCATGCTTCTCATGAGATCAGAACGTAGCATATAGAACCACCATAAACTTCATATTCTCAAGAACTGACACTACATATAGTATGTAACCGTCCCTAGGATTTAGATTTTGCCACCGAAGTGGCTAGTTTATTGTGCACCCCATATCCATCCTGTAGACGGTAGCGCAAGAGCATATGGGTACACAAAAGGCCTATGAACTAGGCCCCAAAAGGGTTAACTGGTGTACATATGGATTTATATTTACATATCTACAGTTCACTTATCTGTTACAAGCAAATTTAGGAAATTTGCTTAGTATATCTGGTATCTTATTTTCATTAATAAGATATCTTGACATGTCACATAGGTTATTATACTGTCTGTCTCTGTATTCCTCAATAAGTGGACAATTAAGCACATAGTGTTCAAGACAGTGACCATATGTCTGATCACATAATTTGCATTTAGTTTGATCATCATCTGTGTGTCTTCCAAACTTCCAGAACTACTTGTAACCAAGCCTTAACCTGGCCACTACGTCCCTAGGAGATGCACGTTTCCTCTCTTAATATTTCAGAGAGACGAGGAAGGGGGCGGGGGTTACAGCAAGTGTTGAGTATCAGTATCAGAGTTCCTTGAGTCACCTTGGACAAACTTTTGTTTCTTCCTTTGAGGGTTTATGTACATGCTGATGACCATACAGTCAAAAAATAAAAGAAATTTGTATCTTAGATCGTGAGGCTCTGTGTGTACTTTTTAGAGTGCTGTAGCCTTGAAGGCTCTTACAACGATGTGGAAGACTCGTGTTGTAGGCTTCAGGCTACTGAATCTGCCACGCAAGAGTTCTGCTCATTTCGACAGTGCAACATTGATAGGTTGTGTAGTGGTTCACACGTCCTCACACCGTTTTATCCTCCGGCACCGTCAGGAACACCAGCTGACACAGGTACTCCACTTTGTCTGAAAAGAATGTGCATTAGTGTTAATGGCAGCCGCAACTTTTACAATATGTTAAGCGATAACTGAAGCACTCAGAATAAAATTAACGTAATTTTATAAAAAAATTGTACTCATAGACCTATCGAAAACCTTTAAAGTATTTTAAGTAATCATCATAATAATAATATTAGTAATTAGTAGTAATTATACAAACAACGACAACAATGAGAACAAAACACCAGTAACAACACCAGTAACAACACCAGTAACAACAACAGTAACAACACCAGTAACAACACCAGTAAACAACTAACAAACAGTAAACAACACCAGTAACAACACAGTAACAACACCAGTAAAATCACCAGTAACAAACAGTAACAACCAGTAACAACACCAGTAACAACACCAGTAACAACACCAGTAACAACACCAGTAACAACAACAGTAACAACACCAGTAACAACACCAGTAACAACACCAGTAACAACACCAGTAACAACACCATAACACACCAGTAACAACAACAGTAACAACACAGTAACACACCAGTAACAACACCATAACAACACCAGTAACAACACCAGTAACAACACAGTAACAACACAGTAACAACACATTAACAACACAGTAACAACACCAGTAACAACACCAGTACAACACAGTAACAACACCATTAACAACACCAGTAACAACAACAGTAACAAACCAGTAACAACACAGTAACAACCTAACAACCAGTAACAACCAGAACAAACAGTAAAACAACAGTAACAACACCAGTAACAACACCAGTAACAACACCAGTAACAACACCAGTAACAACACCAGTAACAACACCAGTAACAACAACAGTAACAATAACAACTGAAACAACAACAAGACATCTGAGATGATAGGTATTTCACTATACACTTAACCTTGGTCTTCCTGTCTCCATCGCATCGGTTCTCAAGCCAACAACGTTTTCTGGAACAAGGGATTAGTTGTCCCGTCTTTCATATATTTATTATAAATAACGGGAATTTTGAAGTTTTAGTGTTAGTAATTTTGTTGATGTAGTGTAGATGATGAGGATTATAGCTGATTGTTAAGATTGTGACCTAAATCGTTGAGGAAGCTGGACGCTCCTGAACTAAGTTAAATAACTGAGCAAGCATCGTTAGTTAATAACAACTTTAACGTAGCAACGATCTCCCCATCACCATTAAAAACTCTGTCAAAAAGAGACCATGTAGATAGTCACGACTGGAGCCAGTGAATACAGAATCCACAGTGGGGACGGGGTGCTGTAAAGTATACATAAACTTGACATCTGGAACCCTGGAACAATAAATTAAGACATAAGTACTCTCCTGTATGTGGTTGCAGGGGTCGAATAATGTGGAAAATATAGGTATTTTCCAGAATCCGTTACACGCACCCCCCAGTCGGGGAGAATGGGGACATAAGAGAGGAGAGAGGACGCCTAGAGACAGGCCTCAGTTCTGTATATACCTAATTCCAAGAAGTAGCCTCGTATAATTACTACATTACTATTATACATATTTAAGTTAAGTTAGAGATAGTCGCTTAGCTTAAGGCAGTAGCTACATTTTCCATAAACAATAGGCCGTAGGCATCTTCAGCCCTCTAGTTTTCAGTGCCGACTGACGTAGGCTGAGCGCAGCGGTCAGTCACGATTGGGTAATGAGACAGTCGACTTTCTCCACACGAACCTTGCGCAGTGAATAGCCATACACCACGATCAGCACAAGCAAGGGTCTCATTAGCTGAACCAGGGAGTTGTGTGACTCAACACGTATTTCTTAGGTGATTCCCGGTCTTCTACCTCAGCGTAGGTATTCAAGGCCTTGAATATTCATCTGTACTCTGTATACTCGTGCTGGAATTGGCCTCCCATGACCAGAGATTACCATATCAACTGCCTGTTACAAATCACACTGCCTAGTGTGAGGAATAAGGTCAGTACCCCATTGATTGAGGTACCCTCTGAAGTGGCGCGACAAGCTTCAGGCTGGGTTTCACGGCTGCAACGAGGGACCACTAACCTGACTAAGCTATGATCCCGCAAACACTGCCTAATTCCCCACAAGATAGCATTCCATCTTGTGGGGAATTTCTTGATAGAAGGAATTCTTCAACACTTATCCAACCTTTGGACGAAGACCTACTTACACTAGTGGATGGTTCCACTGTGATCCCGCCTCCTCCTGCTTCGACTCATCTGTTTACAGTATATAAGTCACTTCTCCGGCCATATGCTGTACTTTCTACAAGATTGATGGACTGAACACATCGATTCCAGGCTTAGGAACTGATTACCTCAAACTCCTTTCCTTACACCTTTCTGTTTTGTATTAGACTGATGAAGCCACTGTGTGGCGAAACGTTTCTTCAGTATAGATTCTCATATGTTGCATAAGTGTCTCAATCATCAACTTGTCGGTTTTTAAATCATTTATCACTACTGGCTAATGCTAGGTATGTCCTACTCTTTCCAATCATACCGTCTCATTGAGAACTTTGACAAACCATTACTTTCCTACATAAAACAACACTGAAGCAGGCCTACCGCAGTCGAATTAGTCCTACTGCAGTCGAAGTAGGCCATGCCGAAGAGTTAGACATGATCTACTTCCACCATTGGGTTCCGACTACCTGTGACAATGACTCCATCTGCTGCAATCATTTAGTACAGATAAAGCTGATACTGTTGCTATTGCCGCTATTATCACCATTATTATTATTATTATTATTATTATTATTATTATTATTATTATTATTATTATTATTATTATTAATTATTATTACATTTGGATCACAGTGTCTAACTCACTGACCCATAACCTGGAGTAACTTCTGTGGTTTCTTCTGTCTGTGGATGGTGAAGTAGTAGACTGGAAGACCCGTGATGATGACGATCACTGCCACCAACACTTCCAGTGGTTGACGGACCACTGGCAGCACCGTCAGGAACACAGAGACCATGAAGTATATTATGGGGAGGCCGATCCACACCTTGTAGGGAAGGGAATGAAAAATAATCATCGTAAAAGATATCAAAACTTGTGGTGATGAAATGGGGAGACGAGTTATGTTTTATGCTTGACGGCAGAAAGTGGAAATGGTGAGAAAAATAATTGAATACCCCTTCACAAATGAATAGGCAGATAATTTGAACAGGCAAATAAATCTTGTAGCAAAACAGGTAAATTATGTAGATATAAATGTACATAATTTACCTGTATTGCAGACTTCTTTAGTTGACATACAGAGGTGACTTAAATACCGGAGACAACAGAAATAGTGGAGAGATAGAGATGTGTTGAATAGTCTCTCAGGCTTGAAGAACTTGGAGACAGGAGCGGTGAAGCAGTTCAGAGACGATGTTACAGGTGGCCTGAGCTAAGTAATCAAAGAAGTTCATGCCAATAGATTAAGTGTTAGGCAGCAAAAAACATTCTTTGAACCACGACTCCAAGATGTTGCTCTGCCAGACAAGCATGTTACATTCATGGCATAAAAATCAGCCTGTAGATAAATAATACACATGCACAAAACTTGGGCATCTCTGTTACGGTGAGGTTTCACCAACCAGTTGTTTTATCAGTCTAATGCAGCAAATATTCCTGGAAACGGTGAAAGATATGAAGAAATAGTTTGAGATGATTAATCTTTCAGTTTTGATGAATTTGTTGGAGATGGTGGAAGGCTTAAGGAAGTAGTCTGAAGTGAGTAGTCCCTCAGCCTTGCTAGGATGTGTTCGGTCTCGATAAATATACATACTCGAGAGTGGGGATATATATGCTGGAAACACGAGAGGTGAAGCAATTCGATGATCTGAAGAGGAAAAAAAGATTTCTTTACGTGATTCCTTTCACACCCAAACCAGCACATATATACGGTCTGTCCAGAACTTATAAACCAGGAAGCCCAGTAAGGTCTCTCACTACAGGCATTGGTAACGTTCCACATTAACAAGCTGGCCCATTGGCTGAACATCTTATGCAACGCTTGGGAATTATTATCACAGCTCACTTAAAACACTTTGGAGATTTTCTCAGTAGAGTCAAAGACATGGATAAGGAATAAGTTACTTAGTGTCGACGTGACGTCCATGTCCACCAGCGTAGCCACAACACAAGACATTGACTTCCTTCGTGTGAAAATTCACGATGGGCTCAGCTTATCCTTCCTTACACAATATTTTCTTAAAGCCATTAAATTGTGTTTTAATTGCATCCGTTTTTCGTTTGAAGACTTCATGTACAAGTAGTCTTTCGGCTTGGCTATGGGTTCACTCTTAAGTGCAGTCATGGCCAGCCTATACATGGAACGTCTGGAGGAAGAGAGACTGATAGATTCACTATCCTCATCACTTCATTAGAGACTGAAGACCCCATCCAGCTCATCCAGATATGAAACCGCTGAAAAAAGATACGTAGCCCTCTCTACTAACTCCGTTGCCATACACGCCTCCAACGTCCCTTCCAATACTGCATTACAAGTAAGGGACATAACCAAGTTCAATCCTCTGCACAGGTATACATAATCCCTTGCAATGATTGCAAAAACTTCCAGAGACCCCCAAACACGTATTTCAGAACACCAGTACGCAGGCAGAATGGACGACAACCACAACCACATAATTCACTACAGGATCGCAAGACTTATCATCATGAAAGAAGACACTCTGGGTAGCAGGATCTTGAACTCATCACTCATCTGTATATCCAACAATTTCATCCAGAAACAAGTACTGTAACCTAGCTGAACCCCTTGCCAGGAAACTTCTTCATGGTTATCCAACATAACAACAGACCAACCAGCCCATGCTGGTGGGTGCTTTTCAAATCCAACTTCTCCTCAGCCATCAACTTCAACGTTCCTCACCTGACCCTTCACGTCACTGTGCTCATTATAGATACTCACATACTCTCTGCTCTATGACGTGATAAAGCCCATCGTGTGGGCGAAACGTTGTCAATAAAGAATCCCATTATACTGCATTTATGTCTTCTATTCCATCCATGTGAACGAAATAAAAACGAAACCTTGAAGGGAAAAACAGGAAAAACATTCAGACAGCGACGTAAGTGTCCTCCATTGGGGGTACCTGATAATAATAATACTAATAATAATAATAATAATAATAATAATTTTGAACGAAATATGTGTCCAGCTGACCTTCATTGGCCTGTGTCGGTCGGGCTGCTTGATGCGGAACCAGAAGAAGGCTATCATGGAGCCCAGTTCAACCAGACTACCGGAGAATGAGAGGTAGTTGATGAGCACTACCACGTCTGAGGTCACGAACATCATCATGGTGATAGAGGCCTGAGGGTCAGAGAATAGGGCAGTGTTAAAAAGCAAAGAATTATATAACCCCTTTCAAGGGGAAACGTCTTCATGTTGACAAAGGATTCTTGGTCTAAGGAACTTATTATGCCTATTGTATGTATTAAATACGTATTGTAAATAAAGTATGCTACTTATTTCCCGATATAGAAGATGGAATCAGATTCTCCACACACCACACGTATTCTCTACAATTATATGACCTGTCATGGCAGTATACAGACCCCAAGCTGTGTGAAACGTTGTTCCTAAGCCCAAGACTAAGGCCAAATCCCACGCCAGTGGCAAAGACACAGAGACTGGCACAAAGACTGGCTGAGGCAAACGTATAGCAGAAAGGTGTCTGTGCACCATCCGTTCCCTCCGCCTACACTGCTGGGGTGCAAAACTGCATAAAAACTTCCCATGTTGCATTGAAAAGCATAGTTGAATATCTAAAAGGAAAGGTCGATCATTGAAAATAAAGATACCACAACTACTAACACTAATGTTGCTACAAGATGCTACTACTACTATGCTACATGCTCTGGGTAATCCCATGTTAATCAGAGTTCCTGAACTAGTTCTTACACTAACGTCCGTGGTTCGAGAGGCTACAGCTGTTCACATCACTGTATTTAGTCAGCCCTGTATCGTATCTAGTTCTTAAAGGACTAAATTGTTTTAGTGCTCACAATTTTACATCTTTCAAGGAAATTTGTTCCAGTATTTTATAACTTAGAAAATCTCTATCCCATACTGTTCGTGCACATCTTGCCTCAGATATTCATGCCAGTGTCTCACATTTTCGCATCACGCTGCATTTCAGATTCGTTTTAGTGTCTTTAAAGTTTATATGTGATCTTGTAGTTTCCATTTCCTAAGTAAAAACAGATGTACTTTGAGTTTCCATTCTGATATTTGTTTCTAATGAAAAAAGTTTTGCTGCATCTCTCTGCACTCACTTTAGATTAACAACATTTTATGCAATTTAAGGACCATAAGTATACAGTGTATACCTTCACTGCGTGGGTTGATCATTCACTTGGGTGACCTTGTAGGGACTGTCCACCTTTTCCTGACTCATTCTATTTTCCTAGTGTGTTTTTTTTCCCTGACAATGGCCTTCTTCGAAATGTATTTTCAATCCATCTTGACTTCTCTTTCTTTGTTTATACCAATGAGTCTTTTTTTGAAATCGTCTCAGTCTTACCTTACTGATTTTTCCTAAGAAGTTTTCCTCTGCTATATCTAGTAGTTGGATCTGTCCAGCTTCGCTCTGCTGGGATAACTCTTTCCATCACCAGCATTTTTTTTTCATATCTTCGCTGTTGCCTCTACGTAAAAACTGCTGCTTTGGTGCTCTTCGTTAACTCGAAATCTTCACTGGCTTTTCTCAGTCATAAATATCAGCTTCTCTACTTCTTAATCCGAAGTACCAAAACTCTTTCTTGATTCATCTTTGGAACAGGCTAAGCCATCTCATTGCAGGGGTTATGGCTTACTCAGGAATCAGCGGGAATGAAATTAAAGAAATTGAAGCTTCCTTCACTTACTCCCTCATTTCACTGGGCTTCTACCACCAAATTCCATCTGCTTCTCTGATGGTCCGCTGCCCATAATTATAACACCCAGTCCGGATACTGTGTATGGCACTGATTGTGCCTTGTGCTCTCCTGAATTACGTCTCACCTCTGTCAATTCAGAATGGTTGTCCATCCTTTCCTGCCCTTGGTGCTTTTTTTTTTTTGTCCCAGATTTTTCTATGCTAGGACTATCCTTCATGTGACTCCTACGTGTCTCGACATGATGCCTGAAATCAACGTTGTTGCAGATTTCTGCGGAAAAGCATAAATGTTCCCTAGAATTAAGCATGTTATCCCAGGAGCTATAAACTAATCTTTGGTCGTGACGGCCCTTTATTGTTTTTCATTTTTTTTTTCACACTGATACGATATTACTCAGGACACTCATCCTGCAGAATATTTGTCACAACGCTGAAAGAGAGGCGACTCACGATGAAGATGAGGGCAGGGATGGGAATGCAGTTGTGGACGTGGAGTTGGGAGAACACTCGTGGTATGTGGCCGCGCCTCGAACTGGCAAACAGAAGCCTCGCATCTGCGAAAATGACGCCATTGGAGGAACCAGCAGTAGAACAAGCCACGAAGAAGGGAATCATCCACGCCATCACACCCATGGTCAGGTTGCCGAAAAGCTGAGGTAGTAAATATAAATATGGATTCATATATATATATAAGCAAAACAACCACAGAGGAAGTTGAATGATAGCTCTAGGCCTTTTGTGTTGCAATAACACATCATCAGGAGCTTGGAAAGTTGCAGAAATAAGTAAGAGTATCTGCAGATTCATGCAGAGGGACGCTTGCAAGTGTTCCTCTGAATGAATCTGCTAACATCTCTTTCTTATTTCTGCAACTTTGCAAGCTTCAGATGATGTGTTATTGCAACACTAAAATCGAGAATTTAGCTAGTCCCAAGAGACTGCCTAGACGACTCTGGTTCAAATCATAACCAGTTCCAGTATGTTTTTTGCTTTAAAAACCACTGCAACCTTGGATCATTGATACGGGAAATCTTGAGTCTAGCGACTTTCTTAATACGATTTAGAATTTTTTTAAAAATAGTTTGTGACAACGCCAACTAGAGGAAAGACCCTGCTTGACCTGGTTCTTACCAACAAGGAATCGCTAACTAATAAACTCGAGGTTAATGATGAGCTTGGGAAAAGCGATCACAAGTCTCTTAGTTTCAATAAATCATGGATTTATCTTAATAACTACAACCAAGCCAATGTCTCCGACTTCCACTTGGCCAATTTCATAGGACTGAGGAATTACCTGGGGCCAGTAGGCCTGCAGTAGTTATCCTTCTATCTTATGTTCTTATACAACTGGAGTGCTACTGGGCTGGTGACTAATACTGGCCAGAGTGGACAACTAGTGCTTCACGTAACCCAGAACGAAACCCTCAAATCTTCCCTAGCTTAGTTACCCTTAGTGGAAACCTTGGCGGTATTCTCATTGCCCTTGATGTCACTCATCTCAGGTTGGAAGTGAGATTAAGACACATGTCGTACACATTCGTACACATCAGGTTGGAAGACATTATTACTTGATGTCAGATGCCCATCCTGTGTGACTGAATATAGCAGGGAAAACTTTGGCTGTTTTTGTTCTCAGTATGTAGCAGTCATGAATACTGGGTTACTGTATCAGCAAGAATCAAATGGTGTGCTGCCAAACAATAGCGAAGATAAGACACGCTGTTGAACAAACTTTTATTGAGACAGTTTTGTTCTCTGTTATTATGAACGTTTGATAAAACCCTACACGGAACAAAACGCTGCCGCAATATGAAGTTGTTTTGCAACATGTGTTTTCTTCTTAGTGAATATGTATGCTGATGTATCCAGTTTTGGTGAATAATGAGAAAAACACGAGACTCACCACAGCCACGGCTGCAGAGGAGAGCATCTGGCTGGGTGTGAGCACAGCGAGGTAGGCGCCGTTGGTGAGGACATAGATCACTGTGATACTGGTGAACGAGATAGCGATGGCCTTCGGCACGTTCCTGTTACCGGAAGAGTGAAACATCAACTATAATACCAGCAGGAATTTTCTTTCTTAAAAGAATCTGAATAATAATTTGAGAACGCCTATTCTGATCTCCTTTAAATTTTTGACACTGACGTATCCTACTGAACACAGAAGAAAGTTTTAATGACTGCCAGTACAGCTGCCCATCTGTCCAAAAATGTGTTGCATTTTCATTCTTAAACTTGTAAATGACCTTGCTGGATAACTTCAACTTTAATCGGCTGATGCATCTAATATCACTGCTAATTTATATGTACTGGTGCTAATTTATAAATTTACTAAGATAACTGAAGAAAAAAGGGTATTCCATGCAGTAACTGGGAAATACCTCTAATAATCACCTTCAAACTTGCAGTGCAGGTTTGTTTTGATCATGGAAAGGTTTGTGTTGATGTTAGGCTTTATAAGCCGCAACTGACTAGTTATTCTCCAGTTATTCTTGCGATAACTGGAGAATAACGTTCCTGATTAGCTTCAAGCTGATCAGAAAATGTGGGGAAAGTGAGGAATGTTAGTGGTGGATCCTCAGTACAATAAAGCCTCTTCTGAACGACATTAAACTGTCAACACTAGTGGATCCTCAGGAAACAGAGCCGCAGTTTCTCTACCTTTCCAGGATAATTAAGTAAAATTATTATTTCTTGTAAACCTGAAATAACTGGGCTGGGGTTATACAACCCAGGGACGACTTTATCAGACTGTACAGCGATTGAAACACATGTATTTTAACAGAAAGTAATGTGGGCCTATTGAAGGTGTTAATCTACAGCTCCTGTGCCTCTTTAGGGAACTGATCTCCAGTTCTTGGGCTTTTCCAGGCCCTTAAGCTTCAGTGACAGGCTTTTCGAGTGTGTTGAGCGAAGGAGCTAAGCTTCCAGGGACTCTTAAAGGTGTTGACCTCTAGCTCTTGAACTTCTCGGGAGGGATGATTTACTGCTGGTAGGTTTCTTAAGAAAATCATAGTGTGGTTGTGACTCGACAAGTACTTAAAGAAAAGACACAAATAGGAAAAATAATAATGATAATAACTATATATACGGGTACCCAAAAGTTAATCTTCAGTGTTTTCCTCTGTCTTTAATATTCCTTCATTTCTCCTTCGCTGGTAATCTGACAGCCAGGTACATCAGGCCTTCTAATTTGTACCCAAGTTTATAATAAATTCGAATGTTAGTTTCCAGGGATTTACATTATATGCTACGGTGATTATCTGGTATCACAGAGTGACTCAGACACGTCTAGTTCAAATTAAAATTCAAATTCAAAGTTTATTCTCTATAAGGATTACAATGCTGAGTTTACAGAAATTTGGTTATTGTTTGGTTTACATGTAGTAAAATTGTGATTACAGAGTGTACCACTAGAACACCTAGCATGGCTAGGCATTACAGAGTGTACCACTAGAACACCTAGCATGGCTAGGCATTTCGGGCAGACTTAGTTTTATTCTTAATTGTAAAATATTACAAATTATGAGGTAAGTTGGTATTATGGCTAAGTGACTAAATACTAGTTTGTGAGTTTAGCAATGTGAATGCTTTTGTTTTGGCACAGTATATAGTTTCAGTATTGGAGTATCACAGGATTCATTATTTTAAGATTGAGATTAATATTTCTGTTTATGGTCAAATGAGTGAGTGTAAGTGTGAACCACCAGGTGGTATTCGTGTAGTTAGTTGACAGGGTGTATCAGGGAGATAAGATGTTTTCTAATGGTAGTTTTGAAGGTGATGAATGTGTCTGCAGTTCTAAAGTTCTCAGGTAGTCATATATTACATTAAATGCTGCTAAACAATTCTCTACGAGCGCCCCTCTGTTTTTGTAACTACGAATAAGTATTTGCCATAAAAAATAGTGATAAGTAACAATTACATTTAAGTGGTAAACAGGAGGTAAAAACCAAGATGCGATTACTTAACACTTTAGTTTCCAACCTTGGAAGTGTAGTGATGTATAATATGATGGTAGGAATTCATACCTCGTTGGGTCCTTAATTTCCTCTAAGATCAGACCAACGTTGCCCCTGAAACATTACTTCTTGTAAGTTACACGATGATGTAAGTGAAGTATAATGTTATTGTCTATGTTATGAAGAAGGAATCATAAAAATATAACAACAACAACAACAACAACAACAACAACAACAGAACAACAACAACAACAACAACAACAACAACAACAACAACAACAACACAACAACAACAACAACAACAACAACAACAACAACAACAACAACAACAACAATAATAATAATAATAATAATAATAATAATAATAATAATAAATGAAGACGAAGCAAATGAAAATAAGATGAGAAAAACGAGGAAGATAAGCAGAAAAAGAATTTCGTGGTAACCAGGGGCGGCGCCAAAATTCCTCTTCAGGAAAGGTAGCCGGCACTAAGGTGCCATGACTAGTGGCGCCACTGGCTGCTTAACGTTATGTGGTGCGATGACCTGAGGCAATATGGCCTCTGGGAGAAATCTAAATATTTTTCCTCGAAGCCTTAGTATCTACTCCAAGACTATGGGTCCCAACAATTTGCACTAGAGGCGGCCCATCCTCTCTCTCTCTCTCTCTCTCTCTCTCTCTCTCTCTCTCTCTCTCTCTCTCTCTCTCTCTCTCTCTCTTTAAACAAAGTTTAAAGAATACACTAATAATACAAAGATGTTAGAGAGTACAACACACAATGCTTGAGTGATACATTACAAGTACACATACAATATGTATTTATCAACAGTTAGATTTCAGATATTTCATCCAGGTCCTCAGAGCTGAGGCGGCTACTCAGGTAACAACCTTAACAAGACGCTAAGATGTCGCTAAAATATGATTAATGAGTATTATCCACAGGGAGAAATCCCACAATTTAGTATTGTACTGGGGTGAGTTGGACCTGCCTAGCATGGGGCACTAGGTCCATGCAACTTTTGTGAACGTAAAGCTCCACCACTGAGAGTTTTGAAAGTTATCCCGGTCATTTCAGGATGCTGGGAATTGTTCCAAGAATCTGGTCCTTGTTATTGTACACAAGCATTGATAATTTGTAGCCGATCGTATGAGACCTTCTCCAGTTATGATCAAAATAAAAACAAAAAGTTAAATGAAAAATATATTCACGCAACCCTTGTGGGATGCCCAATGAATTGAAAATTTGGTGGAGCAAGTAATTCAAATGTTTTTAAAGTGAGGTTGAAAAAATAACATGTTGACTATTCACTGTAACATGAAGTTAGTAACAACTTCCTTACCAGCCACTGTAAGCGTAGAGACTCTGATAAAACGCTGTGGCGATTGATGCTGGATCCCAGTTGGTGCCGACCATGATGTGTCTGTAGTTGTGTGTGCGTCCCCACGCCAGGTAGTTGATACCAATTACGATGATCATGATGAGTGCCAATACCTTAGTCAGTGCCAGTGTGTTCTGCACTCTGGTAGCCCATTTGACCTTCCTGGAGTTGACCCACGCTAACGTTACTGAAGACACACAAGTAACGTAGACATTGTAAGTTGACAAATTACACACAATTACAGTCTTATAGTCACTCTTATTAGCTAGCCTCTTGAATATCACTGCAAATGAGTATCATACTGAAGGTGTGCAAGAGTACTAATGTCATAACTATCTTCAACAAAGAAGACAGGTCGAGTTACCACTCACTTAACCTGCCTTCAGTAGTGGTCACGTTATTAGAATAAATAATAGTTTATTTATTTCGATGTCACCTTGATGAACGTAATTTCATTAACAAATCTCACTAAGATATTTAGGTACTGGATTATAATTAAAAAATATAATGTTGTTTAGTTGGATTTCGGGAAGCTTTTTGTTACAGGGAGAGAGAGAGAGAGAGAGAGAGAGAGAGAGAGAGAGAGAGAGAGAGAGAGAGAGAGAGATACATTACGAAGTAATGTATCATTATGAGTTATGAACTCCAGAAGTAGAGAAAGCTCGAGTACGTCTCCAGCAGTAGCTGCCCTGTCTCCTACCAGTCAAGTTGTTAGTGATCAAGATTGTTGATAGTTTGATACAAGTGACTGCTGGAGAAAGTGGCAGCACACGGTATTGAAGAACTCTCACTGAACAATACATGACTTATTAGTGGACATCAATTTTACATAATCGGGGTGAAATCAAAATCGGAACCAGTCGTAAATGACGTTACTCAGATGAATGTATATTGCTCAATGAAAATAAAAAGCGATATAAATTCACTGATAACATATACAAAAAAGGCTGGTAAGTAATTTTAAATATGGGCGCCAGGAAACTTGAAGATGATTTGGATAAGTTATTTTATGTGGTGGGAAAAGTGGTAGATGGTTTTTTAAGGGCAAGAGTAAGTTACACATTTAACCCACAACTTGTAAATTTGCTTGTACAGTTACATTAACATTCATTGCTTTTTCTGTTATGCACAAACTGTTCAGTGTTCCTTCTCTCTTCCTTTGTGTCTTTCCTCTTTCCACCGCTTCTCTCATCCTCAGAATCTCGATTTTTCATCTTAGTTACCCTCTCAGTCTCTAAAATTCTCCCTTCTCTCACACTAAAAGAAGTTTCTTCCTTCTTAAACAGACTCCAGCAGTAGAGACACTTGCCTATACTTTGTCTTCCCTTGTAGAATCTTACTAACAGTCTTCACTTCGTCAGACTAATACAGTTCTTGTATTTCTGCCATCGACTCTTCAAGTTTTTCCTGTTCCTCTTGCCTCTCCAATAAACTAGTTAAACTGCCTGCCACATTAATCAGTAATCAGTCCCTCAGGGTGAGGAACAGATTACCTTAAGCTCCTCCTGTTCTTCACCGTCCTCCTTTGTATGGACTGATGAAGCCACTGTGTGGCGAAACGTTTCCTCATTAAGATACCCAAATGTTGCACATGTGCCTAATTTATCAAAGTTTCTAATATATATAGCGGGAATCTCAGACCTAAGAGCGTCCTTCAGGTGTATGGGAAGAGGATTAGGAAAAAGATAGGCCCACTTAAATGTAACTCAGGTCAACTTACAGTTAGTGACAAAAATAATTGTACCCTTTTTAACACTTATTTTCTCTCTGCTTTAACCAAGAGGCTACATACGAAATCCTAGAAAACAATAATTATACTGGTCAGGGCGAAAATAGATTATAAGCAATATCAAATTCACTAGTGACATGGTCCTCAAATAACTAGACAAGTTACTGGGCTCTGATGAGCTGTTTTCAGAGGATGTGATGATTAACTTAGCAAACCATTTATCTACTATGATGCAAACGGGTACCGTACAGGATAAATGAAAATGGTAAACGGGATACCCATTTACAAAGTGGGAAATAGGTCTTCAGCTTCAAATTATACACCAATCAGTAGAGGTACATATAACAGGAGGAGAAATTATCTCCTGGGTAGAGCTAAGGTAACAGAAGTTCGAGTTAATACGTAGAAATCGGCAGGGGGACTTGTTATAGGTGGTGTACCACAGGGGTCACTGTGGGACCCTTGGTATTTACAATCTACATAAACGACATAGAAGAGGGAATAAACAGCGACACAAGTTTGCCGATGTCACTAAACTAGACCGTCAAATAATATCTGATATTGATGGATGGACGTAAATGCTGGACATAAGGATGGACATAAATGCTATTGGCATATTTATCATTTCCGATATGATATTCATTTGCAGAAATACATTCAGAAGACAACCTAACGGTTTATTATATTTCTTATTAGTTATATATTCTATTCGCTCTCTAAATATATATTTTTTGTATCAGGTTACACTAGTGTCTATATGTTCCCTTCCCACCACACACACACAAGTCTTGCGCATCTTTCACTCACCAATGAAAAGGATTCCGACCATCCTGAGAGCGGACTTCGGAGGCTCCTGGCATTCTGGAAAGAAGGGCTTTATGATGTAGTTAGCAAAGGTTAGCGCCCCGATGGCTCTCTTGCTCGGCGTACTTATCAGAACAGACATCCACAGGTGTAGGAATGCAGGAATGGGACCAAACGCCTCCTGCAGGTAAATGTAGCTTCCTCCATTCTGCCGAAAGATCATACCTGAAAGAGAGAATGAACGACATATAACGGGAAATTGCTAGGATGAAAGATTAGGTTTGTGTTGAGAGATGGAGTACTTTGCGTGGAGATTCTTGACTGCAGAGAGGTACAGGATTTTATTGGAGGAGAGACAGTGGTTACTTGCAACGATGGGTAATTGCTTTTAATAATGTTGATCGAAGCGTTTCAGAGGACACAAGTATATAATTGGCTGTCTCCTGCAGTTAATAGACGCAGGTATATGACCGACTGTCTACTGTGTTTCAGAGGACACAGGTATATGACCAGTTATCTACGGTATTTCAGAGGACGCAGGTAAATGACCAGGTATCAACAGTATTTCAAAAGACGCAGCAATGTGAATATTTTCTATTGCTTTTCAAGTGAGCCACTTCATAAGCTGAAGGCAGAACTAAAGAAAACTAAGAGGGAGACTCCGTTTCTGAGAACTGAAGAAGCTACAAAAATTGCGAAGACGTTGGAACATGGAAAAGAAACAAATCTCATAACTAAGAGGAGTAAAAAGTTAAGTGGAAATTTCTTTGAGGTGATTACAGATCAACACAGAGAAGTAGAGGTATGTGAAGAGGTGAAATGATGAACCGCTGCTGTCATCTATTTCGGAAGACTCTTACATGAGTACGTTTGGCGATGGTGAATTGTTCTTGATCCTAGAAACTGGAGTTCTCCTTCCCATCCCTTCCTACATATCTGACTGTTCCCCAGCACTGTGTGCCTGGCGGCCTTCCTCATCCTCCTGGATTCTATATTGGCGAGTGAGTCTCGTGAGCCGTCTCACTTGGCTGACAATTTGGCTTTGACCTGGACTGTGTTTTGTCGTAAGCATGTTTACTGTTCTTTGATCATGCCACATATTCCTTTCAATGACCAATGTATTTCCTTCATTAGCCTCTTTATTATATGACAACTGCTTTTGTGTGAATAGTATTTCTTGATTTACTGTTACATTTGTTAATACTTTACTGAGCATCATAAGTTTTATGTGGCAGTTATTCATTATGACCATGGGTCAGCATGCTTGTCTGCTCACGCTTAATGTGACCAGTACTGAGGTTTCCTGGTGTCTACTCTATTTCTTGCTCCTCCTGTCCTCTTCAATACTTTGGAGAAACTGGTCGATCTCTTTCTGACAGACTTAGAGAGCACAAAAATAGTGTTAGGCTTGCCGACACTAACAATGCTCTTTTCTGTCACGTCAGAGATCATAGCCATCCTATTGACTGGTCTTCTGCTAAAACTGTCTTCCCTACTTCCAACTCGAACAGTCGCCGTTTAGTTGAATCCTCTCTTATACACAACTTTCCTTGTATGAACCTTAGCCCTGGCTTCGTCTCTGTAGATGCCTTCCTCTCCCACAACATTGAAAAATGCTCCAAACTTCAGAACACCCGTGATTTAACCTGAACCCTCATTTTTTCTTCTTCTTCTTCCTTTTCTTCTTCCTCTTCCCTTTCCTCTCTCCTTTTCTCCTCTGGGTTGTCTTTCTCTCTCCTGTCTCGTGTTTTTCTGTTCCTTCTTTTTTTTATTTCACCACTTCCCCTTTCACGCACCTCGGTGTGCTTGCTCTCCCTCTGTGGTTTCTAGCTCTCTTGCAGTGCTCCCCTTTCCCTTTTGTATTTGACGGGCTCGTCTTCCTTTTTTTCCCACTTCTACCACTACCACTACTACTACCTCTTCCTTTTTTCACTCATCTACTGATGAAATTAACACATGTGCGGCGTCTGGTTGTCTTTGTTGTGGACGTTTCGCCATCCAGTGGCTGGCTGGATGGCGAAACGTCTACGGTGGGGATGCCCGGGTGTTGTGCATGTGTCATTTCATCCTGTCGGTATTATATACAATTCTTGTACTACTACTACTACTACTACTACCACTACTACTACCTCCACCTCTTCCTGCCTATATATAGCCGTCCTGCTCCACCTCTGTTAGTGTGACTTTGTCAATGGTCCAAGTCGGACCGAAACGGTCGTCGTAAGCTTCTCTCTTTTATGTGCGGGTTATTTGTGTATCGTTCCAGTCACGGTATTGTGCCTTTTTGTTATTTATTTATGGACCCCGCAGTTAAGCGTCATATTCTCTCCAACTTTTTTAATGTTCTTCCCTCTTTTAAACCCCTCTTTCGATCTTATGAGGCTGTTCTTATTGCACCCGGCGTCGTAAGAATCAGCTTCGCTTCACGTGACTGTCTTGCTGAACAAGTTCTGCCACCTTCCTTCTCCCACTTCCTGAAAACCAACCCACTGGGCACCCCCTTTTCCTGATCATGCCCTCTCCTACTTCAACAGCTCATTCTTTCTACTAAATCACAGTTGAAGATGCCTTCTTTACTCTCCGTCAACGTCAACGTGCTCTTTTTTGCGGCTCTACCACAGGATCTCTGTAACCTTCTCTCTACCATTGGCCTTTGACACTGCTCGCCTGAATGCGCAAATTCATTCTTCCAAACTACAAAATAAACTTCAACGTCTCATTCAGCTAGCCCTTGGTCTAAATTCTCCCTCACTGACGTTTTTACTAATCTGTCTTCTGTCTCACTCTCTAAATATAGCTTGAACTTCTTGGTTTTGGTCTTTCCTTTGCCACTTCGCCTACTCCTCGCGCTGGTATTTCCCTGATTAGCCTTTTGTTTCCTTTCGTCAATCTCGTTTCCCGTAATCTTCCTGACTTTTTCCACTTTTCGTGGTGCTCTCCTTCCTGCTCTTGTTATTTCTGTTTTCCAAGAATCACCACCTTCCCACGCCGTTACCAACTTGCCCTTTCTTCTCTTAAATCTACACTAACATTGTCTTACTATCTTCTGACAAAGGTAATTGGGTTTAGTTACCCTTTGATCGCGAGGATTACCTCCGTAAAGCTGATGTCCTTGCTCTCGGGACTCACGCACCTACACTCCTCTCGTTTTTCCAACCCTCTTGATCGCATCAAGAGAACTTTCAACAAAACACTAAGGACTCTCTCCGACCTCTGCCCTCCTGATTTTGCCTTGTTCAAGGGTTTCGTGTCATCTGTCCCTCTCTTCCCTATTCTATGGCCTTCCCAAACTCATAAACCTGATATTCCTCTTCGTCCTATCATATCCTCTAGAGGTTCTGTCTCTTATTCTCTTGCTTCTTGGCTGGCCAAAACCCTCACTCCCTTTCTTGGTACTTTTTCTCCTGCCCACCCCCGTCACTCTCAAGACTTCATTGAACGGGTTCGCTCTCTCCCAACCTGTAAGATGCTTATCTTGCGTTGAGTCCCTCTTCCCAATGTCCCTCTTGATGATGTCCTTGATTTCCTTAGGGGAGAAGGCCCATGAAGGGTTTCTTCATCTCCCTATCCCCCCATGATTCTTCTTGATCGATCCGCCTCTGTGTGGACTCTAACTCCTTTTCCTTCCAAGGGAAATATTATTTCCCAAACCTTCGGTGTCACTATGGGCTCTCCTGTCTCTCCTGTCCTTGCTAATCTTACAGGGAAAATACTTCGAGACTGTTCTTCTTCCTTCCCTCGATGTGCAACCTTCACTCTGGCTCCGCTATGTGGATGACATCTTTGCTCTGTGGCCTCATGACTCCATCTCTTCCAAACCTTTTCTTGAAGCTCTTAACAATCTTGCCCCTTCCATTAAGTTTAAAGCGAATGGGAATCTAATTCCCTTTACTTCCTTTCCTTGATGTCCATGTCCACCGCTCAGATACAGGTTTTTCCCTTTTTCCCTTTACCGTAAACCTATGCACAGTGGCATGTACATTCACTACTTTTCCTATCATCTTCCCCTGTCAAGAAAAAATGTTCTTATCTCCCTCTTTCTCCGTGCCCTCCGCATCTGTGATCCTCAGTTTTCCTTCCAGCAGAAATTTTTCCCCTCTTTATAATTCGTTCTCCCGCTTGGCTACCCTTCCCATTTCATAGACTCTGCCCTCTCACGTGCTAAACGCAATTTCTTCTCTCCCAAACTCTCTACTCATGGGGAAATCTTCTATCCTCTGCCTTCCCTACATTTCCGGTCTTTCTAACTTTAACAATTCTCTCCGTCCCTTTGACATCAAGCTTACCTTCCGCCAGACTAACACTCTTCGCACTAATCTCGTTTATACCTCTCCTCCCTCTACAGATGTTCCTGGGGTCTCTCTATTTCTTGCTCCTCCTGTCCTCTTCAATACTTTGGAGAAACTGGTCGATCTCTTTCTGACAGACTTAGAGAGCACAAAATAGTGTTAGGCTTGCCGGGCACTAACAAAGCTCTTTTCTTTCATGTCAGAGATCATAGCCCATCCTATTGACTGGGCTTCTGCTAAAACTGTCTTCCCTACTTCCAAACTCGAACAGTCGCCGTTTAGTTGAATCCTCTCTTTTACACAACTTTCCTGTATGAACCTTACCCTGGCTTCGTCTCTGTAGATGCCTTCCTCTCCCACTACATTGTAAAATGCTCCAAACTTCAGAACACCCGTGACTTAACCTGAATCCTCATTTTTTTTTTTTTCTTCTTCTTCTTTTTCTTCTTCCTCTTCCCCTTTCCTCTCTCCTTTTCTCCTCTGGGTTGTCTTTTCTCTCTTCCCGTCTCGTGTTTCTGTTCCTTCTTTATTTTATTCACCCTTCCCCTTTTACGCACCTCGGTGTGCTTGCTCTCCCTCTGGGTTTCTAGCTCTCTTGCAGTGCTCCCCTTCCTTTGTATTTGACTGGCTGTCTTCCTTATTTCCCACTTCACCACTACCCCTACTACTACCTCTTCTTCTTCTACCTCATCTACTGATGAAATTAGACACATGGGGCGGCGTCTGGTTGTCTTTGTTGTGACGTTTCGCCATCCAGTGGCTGGCTGGATGGCGAAACGTCTACGGTGGGGATGCCCGGGTGTTGTGCATGTGTCATTTTCATCCTGTCGGTATTATATACAATTCTTGTACTACTACTACTACTACTACTACCACTACTACTACCTCCACCTCTTCCTGCCTATATATAGCCGTCCTGCTCCACCTCTGTTAGTG